AAATCAACAAACAAAGCAATATCGTATTTACAGTTTGAATTTATCTGGTTTCTTCTTCCATGTACTTGTTTTCTTTCTCTGCTAAGCAAAGGAGCCCATTTGTACTTTATAGAATGGCTTTGACTCTGTAATCAAGATACCCCTCTTTTTTTCGAAACTTGTCAAGCTCTTACTAACTTTCTCTCAGGATGCACTTTATCCAGCCCTTGGAAGCCCAGATTTGTTTTGTTTTGTTTTTCTTTTCAATACCTCCTCTTCTGTTACTGTTTGTTGGTTTATTATCCTGTTTAGAAAATAGGCAGCAGAACCATATGTCCATATCAGCATCAGTGAGATGGAGATCCTATCGCTGTGCTTACTGGAGGTCACTGGTCCTCTTTTCCTACCTCACAACAGTGGAGTTCATGTTTGTTACGTCCCTATTAAACCTTTAAACCTTTTGAAAATAAAGCATCCCTTGCTCTCCATGGATGCCTGTCATTTCACTGCCTTAAGCCCCATTTTCTTTGAGTGAATAGGACTCAGCTTAATAAGTAAATAAGTTTGTTTATAAGGACTGCTCTATTTTCTCTCTTTCTGTCTTTTCACTTTCCAACATTCTATCATCTGTAAGTTTATTAACTTCAATTTATGGATACTTCTACACCACAGATTAAAATATTGAATAACTTTGGTCATAGTCTGATCACAGAAGAAATTCACCGAAAACATACCAAGTTATGACTTCCTATTGTCAGCTTCTTTGTGAGATCTTCATTTTGGCAGCTCTAACTCTTCCTAACATGAATACCATTGATATAGTAATACAGCATTAATTGCAAGCAGAATAATGTGAGATAAGACAAATATTTCAGTAAAGGCTATGAAAATTACCTTTACAAAGATACATTTGCCAGTTAAATGTGAAATCTCATGAACAATGAAAGTAGGTTTCTTAAATTGTTTTTCTTAAAACTATCAATTAGCAATAAGTAAATTTGACAGTTTTTCTTCTCTGAAACTCATGTATGTTTTTTCACTACTTTGCCTGCTGTTATTGTATCTGTTGTAAATATTTTCCAGGTTTAACCCACTTGCCATTTTTAAGCATGACTGTGACACTAGCACGTACTTGCACTTTCCAAGACAATTTGTGATTTATTAGAAAATTTACATCAGTGGGCCAATGAGTGCCTTTAAAAAATTTATTATGGTTCCTAGGCACAATTTCTCGTGGTCTAGTATTTATTAATATTGCCTAAATGCTCCATAGTACTTCTTTATCCCATACAATACAAATGAGAAAGACATGAACTTCAGTCTGCATCACGGAGAGGAGTCAGGAGGTTGGCCAGCTAGATGCCAGTGTGGGGAATTAGACTCAGGAGCTGTTTTTTGTTGGTTTGTGTATTTGTTTTATATCTGAAGTTGACTTTCTGCAGAGTTTCATGGAAAGAATGCAGAAGCCTAGAGATATTTTAAACTGGCTGTCACTATTTTTGAGTAAGTCACAAAATCCTTTAATAGCTCAAAATGCAAGGGAAAGGCTTTGTGTATCTAAACCAGATCCTTCAGTAAACTGTCAGCTTCTGTGGCTGTTAAGTTCTCTTCTAGAGCTGCACCAGCTCCGATGTATAAGCGGAGGATCCCAGTATTCATGTTTACTCCAATCCTGCACCTTGTGACAGTGTTTTAAAGACTGTTTGTGGGCTGGTTTCTCAAAAAAAAAAAAAAAAAAAAATAAATAGAGGGATGGGGGGACAAAATTTATAGTAAATTATTTTACTTGACTGGGATTTGTGAAGTGCCAGGATTCAGAATGCCCAACTGGAGTAACCAGTCTGGGATTTCTTGTAGTTATGAGAAAATAAGCTTATTTCAGGTCATGAAGGGGTTTTGCAGAGGAAATACCAAATACTTCATTGAAAGACATTTGGCCTTCTAGCCCCAAGAATTGACTGTAGCTCTAGATCACAGAACATAGACCTTTCAGGGAGTTTCCATCCTTATGGAAACTCATAAAGTTTTGCCTGTTGGGTTTTGGTTTTTTTTTTCTTTTTTCCAAGAAAATGAAGTTTTTGCAGCCATGTGCTCTCTCAACCTTCCTTTATACTCCTGACCCAGCCTGGCTAATACTTTTTTGAACCATTGACCCATTTCACACTAAGTCCTAGTAGTCCACAGTTTCATGAAACTAGTGGCTAAATAAAAGAGAATGACCCAAATTATATCATTTCTCCTTCACTGCCCCACTGAGGGCAGAATACCACCATTGCATCTGGTGGTAGCAACAAGCCCAGCAATCCCCATGGACTTTGTATGTGCTTTTCCAGTGTCGTTGCTGGGAAGTATGAAGAAGTGGAGGGAAACAGGATATTGTTGCTGCAGGGAGGTGGAAGTCAGGAGACAAAGGATGCAGCCCTTGAAAAAGCAGATTTCCTTCATCCTCTTTCTCACAAAACAATTTAATTAAAATTCAACACATATAAGTATTCTTTTGGAATGAGTAAGACTGACATAATTTAGTGAGGACTCTGATTCCAGTGGGATAAGCCAAATGCAACTTCAGTCAGACCCCTGCCACACAGCCTGGCCAGGGCTATAAGCAAAACTAACAGAGCACTGAATGCACATGGCAAGTCGAGGATCATAATGCAAAAACCATAGGTTTTGCTTCCAGATTTTAGTATAAGTCTAAAGCACGACTTGTTAGGGTGGGATGTCTCTGTTTGTATATGCCGCATAAGGAAGTTTCTCATAAGGTGTTAACTTCTATTGCTGCAGTATGCTGTACAATGCTGGGACAGTATGAGTGGTGAGCAATGACCCTGTGTCACATTAGTCTTCAACGAGCTGATTAGCAAGCAGGTGAGGAAGGGCTTTTGAGTAGGTAGAAAACTCCAGCAAAAGCTAAAGTAAATGCTACTTTGTTCCAGTCCCTTAACAATCCAGTTATCCTTACAAGACAGACTCCTTCCCTGCAGTAAGGTGGCCAGAGATCTCCCTCCCATGTCCGTGTCTTTGTTCCATAGTTTATGTTCTTTTGCAAGAGCATTTTTAGGTTCTAATGTATGATCTTTTCTAATCATGTTATATAGATTTATACAAATTCTTAGACTGGAAGTTATCTTTGTCTAGCTCTCCAGCTGTCTCTTTAAACAGCAGAGATATGTGAATTTATATTTGCTAGATGCCTGCAAGAATACTTTTCTAGTGTCCCTCCTCCATTTGGAATGGAACTGCAGCTCGTGACATTTTTGGCTCAGCCTGACTCATGGCCATGAGTTGCCTCAGGGAAGGCACGTGGCTTTTCTTTTCACCCTGTGGTTGGCGGAAGCACAGCATATGTGAGTGAGGGGTCACTTCTCTTCTGAAATAGTTTTCACATTGTTTCTCAGGGGCAAAATTGTCATTATTCAGAGCTTCTTGATTTTGTGGAGGATGAGGAGGTGGGAAAAAATAATATTCTTCTAACCCTTGTGTCTGTCTAGCAAACCAAATTTGTTGGGAACCATTTGAATGGTTTTTTATAAGATTTCTCTTTTAATAATAACATCCAGTTTTACAATAAGGGAAAATCTGAATGCCAAAAGAATAATTGCCATGTGATAACTGAGGTCTAGTCTCCAAGGGGAGCCAGTAAACTCTCAAACTTCTTCTGATAGTGGGGTATTCTTTTCAAGGATCTTTTGAGGTCCTTTTCAAGCACCAGTGACATCTCCCATATCACAAGGAATATATTTGATGGGGAGCCTGGGATCAGGCACTCCAGAAGGTAGCCTTCAGATAACACAGAGAGAAAGGTGTCAAATAGCAAGAGATGCTGAGAAATTTCAGGACACAGAGAAAATGTCTAAAAAAGATCATCTCTCCAGTCTTGTCATTAATTAGGAGATACTGTGAGAAAGGCAAATGCAGGAGGGGGGTGAGCTGTTACTGTGGCTGAAATAAGTGGAGGGTGGAGGCCTTCTGGACAAGCTAACAGCAATGGGTAGAAGTGCACAACATCTCAGGCTGTGTTTAGGGGACAGGCTAGCCGTTCCAGTGAGGAAGGAGAAAGTAAGCCCACACTTCACCCTCGCTTAATGAAGGGAAAGTCTGGAGTGTTTTAACTGAGATTCCCTCCGGGGAGCAAAGTACTTTGTTGTTCCAAGCAATGCAAACGAGCATGAAGGATTGGGTAAAACACAGTTCTCCTTCATCCCCCAACTACTGGGAACAGCTGCTGTTTTGGTTCACAGAGCTTTATTTTTTAAGTGGAAATATATTTCCCTTGGGTCATACCAAGCTTCCCTTGCTAACTACAGAGCTTATGTCACATCCTGTTTCTTCAAAACCAATTAAGTCAAATTTTGCTTTTTTGTTTGAAAAGGAGTGGACTTGTTGCAGTAACAAATTTGATTGCCACTGATATATTGGACTTTCTAACAGTTTTACAATATCAGACACTTGTTCTCTGAGTAATTAAAGCAAAAAGAAAATGGCTCTCAGTGTCATTTTTAAACTTGGGCACTAAGCTGAAGTTCTACTTTCACACGTGGATGTTCATGGGAGTGCTAGAGATAAGGCTCAATCAAAATTATTGCAGATGGTCACTTGACAGAAGCCCTCTTATTTACAGTCCTACACTACTAGCACTTTTGGAAAATAAAATCATTGTGGTGAGGACTTCTTATCCCTGCTATAAGGCAAAGAACAGCAGCAGAGATTCTGCTCTGAGTCCTCTTGTCTTGGGTTAAGCTTCATCCGTTACTCACTTTAGGGCTGCAGAGACAACTTTGAGTACCCTAGGGAACAGCAATATGATTCAATTTATCTGTCAATGTGTTTTTATTTTATTTTGCATTAATAAGGTTCCAATTCTGATGCTAAGTTTTTAAGGACAAAACATCTTTTTCTAGCAGTGAAGATCACCTGTAGTAATGGACTGGGTCATTTGATGCATTCTGTTCCTTACTAGCACTAAGGTTTTTGTGAACTGCAACATAACATCCATTTGATTTGTCCTTCCTTTGTACTAGGGACACTCTGTTCACTCACCATTGAGAAGGCCATGCCTGAAGATGGGGGCGAATACAAGTGCATAGCTGAGAATGCAGCAGGAAAAGCTGAATGTGCTTGCAAAGTGCTGGTAGAAGGTAAGTTGTTTGCTGGATACAGGAAGACTCTTCCTTGGAACTTCCTCCTTCTCCCCTTTATTTGCTAATACCAGCCTTTATGAACCACAGACACAAAAAAGAACTCTGTCCCCTTCCCTCCTGCACTTTTTGGTCAATATGTATTTAATGTCTACCAAAGAGCATGAGCAGAGAGACAGAACAGAGCCAAGGACTCTGTCTGCTTTGTGGAGTATTCTATGTCCTCCTGCTGCCCACTGTATTTCTACAAGGATGTTAGAGGAGTAAATTGAACCCATGAAGATTTGCTTCTGAGCTGTATGTATTCTGTAAGAGCACATAAAAATTTGGTGTGTGAGCCTGTGTACCAGTCTGCCTCAGGACTACGTATGGCACATTTCTCAGTCTAGAGCTTTTCAATTCTTTGCATTCTGTGACATTTGGTCATCGTTTTTTCTAGTGGAAGTGACTAAAAATAAACAAAATAGCAGCTCAACCACCCTTCTATGCCATAGTCTTAGAACATGGATAATTTGCTGACTGAGGTACCCATTTTCAGCCTCGGTCATGCTGATGGCACTGCACTTTTGCCTAGTAGTCTTGGCCTTCGCAAAAGTTTTGTCGTGAGGTTGAGAGCAGAGACTTTTAGAACTGCCATGGACTTTAAGTAACCAAACATGCTTCTCATCAGCTCACCTTCTGGTGAGCTCATTCTTGACTACTCTGATACTTTCCATTGTAGCTACAAAGAACACAAAACTAAAGAATCATAGAATCATAGAATGGTTTGGGCTGGAAGGGACCTTAAAGCTAGTTCCAACCCCCCCCCTGCTGTGGGCAGGGACACCCTCCACTAGCCCAGGTTGCTCAAAGCCTCATCCAGCCTGGCCTTGAACACCTCCAAGGATGGGGCATCCACAGCTTCCCTGGGCAACCTGTTCCAGTGCCTCACCACCCTCAGAGTAAAAAAATACTTCCTAATATTTAATCTAAATCTACCCTTTTTCAGCTTAAAACCATTACCCCTCATCCTATCCCTACACTCTTTGATAACGAGTCCTTCCCCATCTCTCCTGTAGCCCCCTTTAAGCACTGGAAGGCTGCTCTAAGGTCTCCCTGGAGCCTTCTCTTCTCTAGGCTGAACAACACCCACTCTCTCAGCCTGTCCTTGTATGGGAGGTGCTCCAGCCCCCTGATCATCTTTGTGGCTCTCCTCTGGACTCACTTGGACAAGAAGAAGCTGAATAACATACACTTTGGGTGCTAAGCCTTCATAACTGTGTTGCAGATGTGGTATTCGGAGCAGGAGGTCTAGAAAAGAAAACTATTATTTTTTTTTCCTAATGTAGCATGACACAAGGTAAGAACATGACCCTGTGACTCCATCAGTAAGCTTCATATAGCTGGACAAGGAATTAATTGTACATATAATGACAATTATTTATATTGGTTCCTGTAATGGCACCTTCTATGACACTATGGTCACAATATAGTCTGGCTTTGATATTTGATAAGCTATTGTTTATATATTTGTAATTTAAAGTAACAAATTTTACCAGCACTGAAGTTCAAAGAAGACTATCAAGAAGAGGCTTTAAGCAAAATCTAGTACCCTGTAACACCTTAATTACCACAGATGCAGAGGGTTAAAGGATGAGATTATCAAGTACACAGGAGTTTTCCAGAGCTGCCCTAGCATCTCTTAAATGTCTCATTACCTGTGTGTTTTTTCCTTTGACTTTGTCTTCTGAGCTCCTTCAAATATCAGCTTTTCTTCCTGAAGCCTCCCTTAGCATATCTCCCACTTCCAATTTCCTGCTGGGCAATGCACGTTCTAGGAGGCTGGAGGCAGATTTGGCTTGCAAAATTTTAATCATGGGAGGCAGTCAGCTCATAACATATTCATTGCATGATGAGGTGAATGGTGTTACATCATCTGTCTGGCTCACCCTGGTAGCGGCACCCATGGCATTAGGAGCTAAGTGCTCATGTAATATTGGAAACTAGAATGACCACATTCCTACCTTGATACTGGCTGCCTCATCTGTCTTCTCCCTTCCCTACTGGCATGCCACTTTGTATGGCTGAGAAGAGGTTTTTGAGGAATGGCACCACAGCAAACTCCAGTTAATGAGGAGACCCCATTTGATATCCCATGTCTGTGACTGGCAGAGGGAATGACTCTTATTTTTAAATTAGAATTGTGATCTAATACAAGAGCTAAAATTGCTCACTCCTACTCAGTCTGCTGTCAGCATTCCAGATGCTGATTTTTAAATAGCAAATAACCATAAATGTTATTATATACCTTTTGGCCCCATGATCTCAAATCAGATTGGAGGAATATTTTACTTCAGTGTCAAATTAGCTGAGGGATAAATCTGCAGAATCTAAGTGTCTAAGAATTTTAAACAGCTTTCTCATGCACAAATCTTCCGAAAGCTGAATATTTGAAAGCTATAAATTGATACAGCTATTGCTGAGATCATAATCCAGATTTGGGATCTTTCTTCCAAAGAGAAATGTCAGGATCAAACCACCTAAGAAGTAGAGCCTGCAGTGTTGTGTCGTTGCTGGATATGAGCAGGGCAAGTTTAAGACTAACCAAACCCATCAAACTTGAGTCCTGTGGTGTCCCTTTTCCCATTTTTCTTTAGGAATGAACCAATGTGTAATAATATCTTCTTGGAAAGATTTAAACATACAGAAGAAATGATACTTTTCAAAATGTGTTCATCTGTATAGGCCACACAGACAATGGAATAGAAGAATGACATGGCAAGAGATTCTTTTGGATTAAATTATGCTTCAAATATGCCTTTGTTTCCCTCTTCCATGCACACCCTAGAGCAGCTTTAAGCACATTGTACTTTGTTCTATTCAGTTAAAGTAGACTGATCAGCTTAGACGGTGCCTCTTGTCTAGTTGCTTTCGAAGGTTCTCAGTGCAGCTGCCTTCATAGAGGGCTTCTCCCTCTCTGCTCCCTTTTCCTTTTAGAACGTGACATTCTCCAGCAAATCTGTGCAGAAAATCTTTTCTAAAAACCAAAAGGACAGCAATTTCCTCTAACTTTGCAGAAAGATCCAAAACAAACTGACGTTAATAGGTAGCTTTTTCATTATAGATCTTAAATGGGATTTGCATTTTATTATTTGTTTTGATTGCAGATGCCTCATCCACAAAGACCTCAAAGGCTGCCGAGAAGAAGACCAAAAAGCCCAAGACCACACTTCCCCCTGTGCTGCCAACAGAGAGTAAGTGACAGTGATTTTGATTACTTCCTTTTCAGTGGTAACAAAAGAGTGCTTTGGGATTCTGTGGTCATTTCATTCTTTTTGCAGGCATAGTATCAGAAGCTTGTGCTGTTTCTTTAACCCTTGCACGTTAGTCATGGGAAATGAGTTTTTGCCTTGTGGGGATTATAAGTAAGTGCTGAAACTGTGAGTTCAGACGTAACCCACTCTATTCTCAGTTTTCCATCATGGTGCAATAAATTTCTTCTCGTGTAGTTTGCTTCAAGTTGTGTTGTGTCCTGTGTAGACAATATACTGTCTTACCATTGGTAGGCAGGCTATCTTGACTGAAATGTCCTGTAGCATAATCTGTCCTTTTTTCCATTACCATGGGGAGTGGCTTGGTGAATTTGTTTTAAACCTAAATGCTTTGCTTGCTTTTAATGGTTCCTGAAATAATGAATCAGCTATAAATTCCCGTGTTTCCTACTCTGCATACATGCATTTGATTCAGAGGAAACTTTAAATGGTAAAGGCAGCACAATAATATCAGTATAGAAATTCCTAATTTCTGTTACTAAATGCCCATGGGATACAAATATCTTTTAAATCAAACACTGGACTTTGAAAGTTGTCTATCTGAGATGTCCATCATGTGAGTTCCTAAAAAAGATGTAAAGATATGGTTCTAATGGAAACATTAAATATTTTATCCATCTCTCTCTTTAAAAAAAAAAAAAAAAAAAAAAAAAAAAAAAAAAAACCTAAAATTTTTTTTTTCAACCCGGAACA